ATGCATTGTAGTGATGTAGACTGTCAAAACAAATAACCGTAAGGATGAAGGTGAAGAGCTCAGTTGTCTTCTCACCTTTCAGTTGCCTTTGAGGAGGGATTGATGACGCCATCTCGAGCAGGCAATCAGTTGCATCTGTTCAAGAGGAGTCTTTAAGTGGACCGAGTCGGTTTTACAAAGAGTTTAAGTTGGTTCTACTTTTGCATTTTGAGAGTTGCTGCAGGAGGGTTGGAAGAGTCGAGTTTACCTAACTTAAATCCTTCTTTCAGATGGCATTCATTGTTAGCAAAAACGTGTTGTACTTTAAAGAGCCTTCCCGAGCACTAAAATTCACTTGTTAAAGATTGTAGATGTTAAAATTACTTTAATTTTGGGGTAAACGGTCAGGGAAGAAGATGGTAATTATGAATTGGAGGTTGTAAAACTGTTCGCGACACAAATGCATTGCAAAGAGTCACTTTGTTGCATTGTAGGGAAGCGTTTTTGAATGCCGAAGTACTGCCATTTTAATTTTGCGTTGGCCGTGCTTGGTGTTGGTTACACTTCAGGTCCTTTGATAGTATTTAAGCACAGCAAACACATCTTTTTTGCTTCCTCCTCCTCCTCCTGCTCCTGCTCCTCTTGCTCCTGCTCCTCCTGCTCCTCCTCCTCCTGGTCCTCCTACTCCTGCTCCTCCTGCTCCTGCTCCTCCTCTTCCTGCTCCTGCTCCTCTTGCTCCTCCTCCTGCTCCTCTTGCTCCTCCTCCTCCTGCTCCTCCTGCTCCTCTTGCTCCTGCTCCTGCTCCTCCTGCTCCTGCTCCTCCTGCTCCTCCTACTCCTGCTCCTGCTCCTAATCTTCCTGCTCCTGCTCCTACTCCTCCTCCTCAATGTCTGTCTTTATTGTTTGTCTATCTTCTTATCCGCGCCCTACTTTTTCAGTTGCTGCTTCTGCTTCACTTGCAATGAGTATGCAAAGCAACCTGAATGAAGATCTCATGAATTATTCCCACCTATCACAGCTAACAGTGGTGCCCGAACGCATCACCTCTTCAACTCAACAATGCTGCCTCTAGCTCATTCAAGAATCAAGGTAGCAGAAACACATGCAAAAGACCATTTTACCATTGATGAGTGATAAACAGTGGAC